AATATTCCTTGTCTTTTGAAGTTGCAGTTCTGAATACCAATAAAACTATGTTTGGTTACATTTGATTACTATGATATCGATTAATCTTTTTTATACTTATTTAAGTGTTCCATTTACAGTTGCGCACACTACTTTACGTACGACAGTGTTTTAATTACTAAAAATCACTACTCATAATTTCTAAGAGAGGTAATATTATCGTTTATAACCTCTCATTGACACTGACAGTGATGCAACGAAACATTGTACCAAACACCAAATGCACCACTCAACAGTTAAATTGGCCTGAACAGCTGATTAGATGAAGTTCGAATCATTACAATTTGACTTCTTTTCTCTCAATCCTTGAACCTCATTGGTCCGTTACCCTTGTTGTTATGAGTAAAACTATGCTGTTATGAAAGTAAACAATGTTATTATAGGAACTTTTCAATTCGAAGAACTTAACTGAAACAACCACTTTAAGAAACGGTCATTGGTAATTTTTTTTCAAACGTCTTGGTACCAAAATGCACAAATACTATTCGATCGAGATTAATTAAGTCACGAGTTTAATTTCACCCAAGAATAAGAACGTAAAGCAATTATTTTTCTCACCCCTTGGGTCAAAAAACTCAAACAAAGCGCGGTTGTTGACTCCAGTTAATTATTTTTTTACCCGTTTCACCCCAAACACTTGCTCTTTTACCGGGCGTTGACTCCCGCTCCTCATATTGGTGTTTAATTGACACCTGGACAAAGGACTGTGAGCGGAGAGTGTATTTCTGTAGCAGGTCCTCACAGTAGCCGCTGGATGGGTTTCATCTGTTGTTTAGACGTTTTTTGTGTATGGGATTAGCAAGCCGATGGCTTCTGGAAGGTATCTGGCGCCGACGACACTTTCGTTAGCGACGTGGAAGGGATGCTGAAGGTGGACAGAAAGGAAAAGGGGAAGATCTGACGGCGGGATCAATCAAAGAGGAATTTTCATTGTAGGCCTACTATAAACGTTACACGAAATGGGAAACACTGCAACAGCTGATCGTAGTCGTAGTATATGTGTTACCAACTTATTTTCAAGCTAATAACAGCACGCTGTTTTGGGTTGTTTGGTTGGAATACAATTGTGCAGTAAAGAGTGCGACGAAAGTAACTGCAGCAATTAGCCACTTTCTGTACTATAATTAGTACAAGGAAGCCCACTTTGTCAGGTGACTGTAGAAAATATTGTTTACAATTTACTACTAAATTTTTACATTTCTAATATTTCTTACTAATACAAAGATTAACAGCAGAGATGAGTCTATAAAATCACAAAACTACAAATAAAGGACAAATAATTTAAATAACCAATTTCAGCCAGGGAAATTATTAATATCTTAATAATACATTCTTGTAAAAAGTGTAATTAACTAATGGTGTTTTCATTTATAATGTTTTTGAAGTGTTTGAAACACGAAACGAGAGCCAGATTAATTATATTGTTTTATAATAATTTAAATATTGAAAAGGGAACTATTTAACTATTTATATTCTTTCTTTGTGACAAACGTAGGTAATTGGAATTTTCTTAGGAGGAAGGAGAGATCTTAAAATTTGTATGAGAGATTTTTTACAATTTAACTTCCCTCATAATTACTACTTAACTATAAGAATTTAATACTATTGCTCGTGTAAAATCATTCAACTCGTCCAAAAATCAAATAGGTACAAATAGTAAATATAAACAATTGTAGAATGCTGTGTTCGTATGTGCAACTGTTTCAGATTGGTAATGTGTATTTACTGACAATGAACAAGTTAGCAAATTTCCCCATAGGGATGAAGCTATTACCGTAGGTCTCATGGCAACACCTAGACCCGGGGCCGATTTTGTTTTAATTTTGATGTCCCCAGAGGCCAAAAATCCCATCCGGTCCATGGGAATGGGGTAAAAGTGGGGTTTTCTCAGTTTTTACCCTCTAAACACAAAATTTCCCAATTCCTTTCTAGACCTTTTTTAAAGAGCTTACACAAATAATTTAGTATATCAAAGTATTTTTGTATGGTTACGGAGAAAATTCAAAAAATTTTAAATTTGTAATTCACATATAATTCTTATGAAGAATATAGTAAAATATTGTTGTTTGCTTATCTGGATATATTTTGATGAAACTTGGTGAAATTTATTTATTGTACACTAAGCTATTAATATAAAAAATAACACTTTATTACCCTCCCTGTACATAGGTAATTGTTAAACATAATGTTATTTAAATATATAACATTTTTTATTATTATTTTTTTAATTTATTTATTACATGCATGGCAAACGCCATTTTACAAGAGAGTTGAGTTGACATTGATAAAAATTAATTGTGACTTAAAGTGAAATCGTTATAGTGTGAGCAATAATTAAATATTATAACAAATATGAAATAATAATATGCAATGTAGCTTTACATACACAAACAATGACATGCTAAGTCTAATTGTAAAAAAATAAGTAGTCAGATAAAAAAATAAATCAGAATAAATACTTATTTATAAGTATAAAAAGCTTATTTGTAAATATTATTTGTAAGTGTAGCCTTCAGTTGTACTTTTTTTCTGACTTAGCTAATGCAACAAATTTTTGTAAATTTTTAGCTGAATAAACGAATTTGAATTTGATACTGTATACAGTTTCACCAGTCTAATTTTTCAATCGCATCCAAGATATTTTCTTAAAGGATTTATTTCATACAAAGACACTGTAACAATGTAAAACTGTGTCGTTATTATCGAGTTAGTTTAAATTATACAACACGCAATATAAAATCAAAATAAAAGATCTATAAAAGCGAAATATTGTACGTTTCACTTAACATTTCACCAAACGATTTACCAGAAAGCACAGCCAATAAGAAAATAAGTAATTTATAGGAATGTAAACGTTAATTTGGCTGGAGTTAAAATACAAACACTAGGAATTTCGCTTACTAAAACTCTTTCGTTTGTTTACTTATCGTGTTAAATGGTTAAATACAATTTGAAAGACCATAATGCTTATATTCCCAACAACGACAATTAATAAAATTTGTTAATAGCTACAATTAGAGGGTTGGTTTATATTGGGAGAAAATATGATGAAACCAAGACTTTGTTGACATTATTATTCAATTTATTACGATTACCAGATGATAAAAATGTACACAACGAAATCTCAGTAAAGTTGTGTTCATTATTTGTTTATATTAATGTTGTTACTGTATCAACCTTTTTCAATATCAGTCTCAACCTATCTCCTATGGTTTGAGAAGCCGGTCCGATTTGGACATTCCAAAGCACAAAACTGCGTTTAAAAAAATCATTTATTTTACAATGGCATTCAACTGTTCAATGCACTGCCCACTCCCTTGAAGATGGAAAATAGTGTGGACAAATTCGGCAAAGGGGTTATGAGTCTTCTTTTGTCACGCTGTTGTTACAGTGTAGAAGACTTTTTAAGAAATCAATGATTTTTAGTTTTTAGATTTTATCCATAAGAAATTTTGTTTTTATTTGTAAGAGAAATTTTGTTGACACCATTTTGCAGTTTGTAACGACTGTCAAAAATAAAGATGTTTGAGTTTGAGTAAAATTCGGACATTTTGTTGACTACAACTCTTCGTGTTAAAAACTCTAGTGTTGAATGTGGAGTTGAAACTGAAACGCTTGAATTCAACCATGAACAATTATCGTATTAGTCAACGTAAAAATCAAATTTGTATAATTAATTGGTGAAAGTACAACCAATTTGAGACTACAAATTATGTAGAAAAGGGCGAGCAAGAACCCTATACAAATACAGATTATTACACATTTATATTAACATTTCATGATGTTAAATTCAATCCAGTAATAAATTATCAAAATGAAATACAAGATGTTGTATAACAACAATAAATATAGTTTTGGAATCAATGACATAGAAATTATTTTTTATTTTCCGTGAATGTGAAAAGGAATAAAATGTAACTTGTATTACATTTAATAACGTGTTTGAAAACCGAATATAAATAGATACAATAGTATGCATGTTAGTTAAACTAGAAAATTATATGTAGGCCTACCAGTAAAACTATTTTAAACCATTTAACACAACATAAAGCTATAACATGAAGGAGGAAAACATGGAATGATTAAATAAGCACTGTTTTAAATATAAATAATGTGTTCAAACTCAATTTCAAGTCTGTACAAATGACAAACCTGTAGAATACTATCATAATTATATTATTAACTTTTAGGTTTATATTTTAGACTTAAAATAGTTATTAGTCCTTACTTGGAGGAAACATGACTTAAGTTTAACAAAAACTAATTGCTAATGAACCTGTTAAATAAAGTAAGTTGCGGGATTTTGTATGTAATCTATGCAAAAAAGCGAATTCTACTACCAAGAGGTTTACAGTTTTGTGAAAGACCCTTTTGAGTTGAGACGCACTTTCCCGGGTTTTGATTGATTTAATTCATTACTTTTATTTTAACAAGTTTTAAGTACTTTTTATCACCATTTAAAATTAATATCATAATTTAGAAATGCTATAGATTGTTTACTTAATCTTTTAATGTATAGAGCTGTTTTACTAATGACAACTTAATCTTTCTGTCAAAATACATTCAAACCATCTACCATCATACCAAGATACGTTTTAATTAGAAGTATAGGCCCCTAAACGCTAGTAAAACTTTAAAAGAATGCCAAATATTATCTGTTATAATGAATCGATCTAGCAAACACAGTACAAAATAGACAAATAATTAAAGTTTATTTTCTTACAAAAAACATCGGAGAAAAATTGAAAATAAATTGATTCACTTTATAAAGGTGCAATAAATTAAACTACTCATCAAAGTATTTCATCAGACAAGTTTTTCATAAATATTAGTGACAAAAATGTTTTTCCTATATACTAAAATAAAACAAAACACATTGACGAAATAAATGCAAGAATGAAACAAAAAACTTTTACAAACAAAATCAAATTATGAAAATGATAAAATAAGGGTGTACTTACTAGACGTGCCTTGCAGCTTAGGCTGCATGTGATCCATGGATTGTTGCATGACACAAACACACAGTTGACTACTGACTATGAGACTTAAGTCGTGACTTGGGCAGAGTCGAGCCGCTACCCCGCAGCGAGCTCTCCGATTGGTCGGCGGCATCCCCTAGCCCCGCCCACCACCACCCTCCCCACCCCTCCACAGCACGCTCTTATCAATGGCTTTATTGGGACAATAAATACTTGCGATAGTCACTCACTTACTCATGAGTTAATCACTGTTACGCAACTTGACCAGATCTTGGTGTGTGATTGTGAAAGAAATGTGAACAAAACCGAAGTGAATTACTTTAGAATCAATGGAGTAGTGGGCTTAATTGATCAACAAATATGACTGGAAATTGTTCTGCAATTAATTCAGCAGGGAAACTTAGTAATGCACTTGATTGGAAAATAAATTGACAAAGGAGACAGTATGGAATGAAACTTAAGCCTTTGGAAAAAATACAGTAACGTGAACAGCAAAGAAATGTGAATAGAGGTTACATTTTTGAGAAAATTAATTTAGTTAGTTACTAAAATTTACTAATTTAGAAACAAAAGTGAAAGTGGAAGACTGATTTTGGTAAATAGTTTAAAATCGGCGGAGGAGGATATAACAACAGTACTAGCTAATATAGTAGTAAAGTACTACATTGGCTATACAATTTAAACAGGGGAAACAGATTTGGAGGTAATTAAATTATTACCAGGGGGTTACGATAATTTTCGTATCAGAGAATATACAGGAATTAATAAGATCGACCCATTTTGGGATGATCTTTTTTAAACAGCCAGCTAAAGCCGCGAGGTTAAAACAAACGTTTGCAAAAATCAAAAAATTGCAAAATTGTTTTCTATATTTTTTCAGGGTATTCAACAGAAATTTTGTATACATAATGTATTTACATAAATAAAAAGTATGTTTTAACAACAAATAATTTATTAATTTGTTTGTTAGCTTTGGTAAAAACGCGACTCTAAAAAGTGAATGTATGCTAAAAGATTTTGAGCAAAGGACACATGAGGTGAATTATTAAATTATATAGTTAGCCTTCAGCCTATTCTATTCTATTCTATTCAGGAACCTAATATTGATTGACATTAAAATATGTATTTTACAAGTAAAAATAAAATCCAATATTGGGTATTTATAATAGTTTCCTTTATTACACTTTATACTGATTGGAGCTCTTTGAGATTGGGCCTTATGCAAATGTTGTAATTGAATCACACAATAACAGCTGATCATATTGAAGCTAAACTTACTAGGGCTATTTCGACGAACAGCTGTTAACAACAATGAATGTTATTTAACAAAGTTCAATTTTATAATGACTGTACAATTTAAAAATAACGTGGCATTTTTAACATTAGCCTTATGGGTTGCTATGGTGGTTACAAGATAACAACGTATATTTAAACAAAGATCATAGCATACGCTTATTAGCAAACTAATATAAGATCTAAATGGGAAAAACATTAACAATTGATCAAAGAATATACATTAAGTATTACAGGTCAATAGGAAAATACTACTGATTAAATAGGTACCGTTTTTTAATGATTTTCTATAATTAATCTAAATTGGAACTAAGACTAGTAATTTAAATCAGGTATTTTAACTTACAGTAATAGCTAACTGTCAAACCGATGTTTATGCATAGATACAAATAGGTTTTATAGACAACGCTGTTTTACTATTGACTTCAAATAGTTACTGTTCTTGAAGTATGGTTCATGCTGGAAATATGCGCTTATGTAGATAAAATGTTCTTAATGGCATAACAAACAATATTGGTCCCATATAGATGGGAATTATAACAAGCGTTTTCAATCAGCTGTTTTAACTAAACTAGAGGTCGTCCAGTGGTCGCAAACTCGACCAAAAATAATGTACTGATTCCTCTATTTTGAAATTAAAAATAAAAATTCTTAAAAAAAAAACTCCACATGGCTCTTTCGTACACTTATTTTAAACACTTTAAGTTTATTTTCACCCCACGCTGTAAATAAAACATGTGGTTGGAATTTCTTCAATTTCTTTTGATTTCTGTTTATATTTCGTCTCCAGCGTGGTAACCCATATGGCCCATGTTAATTTTTTTAACATTTTAAATTAATTTTTGTGCTTATTTTTGAGCCTATTTTAATTTATAAAGGTATTCTGCACATGTACAGGAAAATATCTTTCTAACAGTATGCGTAGATTTTCCCTGCGATGCACACGAGCTAAGAAGAAATGTTAGAAACATGCTTGCCTATTAATATATAGATAGAAATTTTGAAATAAAATATACTTAATGCTATTATTAAAATGAGGTTTCATTATTGACTTTAGACAGTGCAAATAGACTATTTCTAGCTATTGTAAAATCAAAATATCAACTCTGTTTTTTATGTGGAAACGGTTATACGGGTAACGACTAAATTAAATAAATATCTTGTTAACTAAAATAGTATTGGGCTTTAAAAAAGATTGTTTATTATGTTGCATGAATAACTATACAGTTTTTAAATATGTTCTGTAAATTAACGTCGTAGTCAGATTGTGGTATACAGTATTACATAAAATTTTTTTGTCACAGTCAATAAACTACTTCAGTAAATATATTTCTTGTTAAAACGGAAATGAGCAAAGTAACAAGTTGGTGCATGTCACCATCATGAACATGGTAGTTTTGTCACACAAAGAGCTTCCTGTCGAATCAAAAGTTTCCCGAAATGCAAATCTTCTCCAAGAAGTTGTTTATCAATGACTGATGACTGATATTGCGGGTCTAACGACATCCGGTCTGACCAATGAGTCATGACTTGCACCCTAAACTCACCCTTACAGCGCCTGCTGGGGTAGGTCGGGGTGTAAGGGATACTACGGGTTGAAACATGGGGATTAAACACAAGTAAAATTATTTTTATTTCATGATGTTAAAGTAACATTACAATGTTTCAATTAAAAGTCACTTAGTAATAATCATTAGATTCGTAGTTGATTAAATCTCAATATATTATTACCGGATTTTTTCACATAATGATACAATATTAGGCCCAATCTCAATTATACAATTTTGTCACGCAAGAGGAAAAAGATGCTGAATTAAATTAATCTGAAATTTATTAGACTTATTTTGCGAAGTTCAGGGAGAGAATGCTTATCAGGATGGCTTATAAACTAAAATTGATTTCAATAAACTGCTCTAAAAAGGTTAACTTGGGTTATTCAGGCGTTGACCCAGAAGATCAAAGTATTTTTGTTACCCGAATAATATTACCCTCCATTTTACATTCATAACTTACTCGTAATTGGGTTAAATTAAAATACTAAAATATATGTGATATCTCAAATCATAATTATAATGCTTAGGATGGTTTTTATGTAAATTAATTTTGTTCTTTATTAATGAAATAAAATATTAGGCTATATTTAAAAATAATTTCAAAGGTTTTAATTTTTAAATGTTTAGTTGGTAGCTTATTGTGTCCTACAAAAAAAAATTAACAACTGTGTTTGTATTAATTTCACCATAATAATGATTGGTCATATCTTTGACTATAGATTGTATCTACAGTTCGTATAGACTTATGTATCAAATAGTAAATAGTCATATATTGCAGTGGCATTAAATAGGTAACAGCTCATTCTACACTAAAAAAAACCTTTGTTAGTAATACCACAAGCTCGGACTTGCATAGTTCATTTGCATAGTTGTCTGAATGCTATCCTTATTCAATATTATTCAAACAAAAACTTCTTTTGAAGCAGGTTGGTAATAAACCGGAATATTTAAACTAGTCAACCATTTTATTTTGCACTTATTAGTTAAATAAAATATAACAAAACCATCATTGATACATTGAAATCGTCTAACAATCCATGATATTATGTGTACAGGGGAAAAACAAGTAACATAAAAACGAATCAAACACAGCTACAAGGGATCCAAAATTAATTTGAAATTTAAATGTTGAGGAACAATAGCCCCTAACCGTCGGGCGTGCATTGAGCCCTACGTCACTCATCATTACATAACAGAAGACTACACGGTACTGTGAGTGTTGAGTACACCTGTGAAACCAGCACCGGAGGTAGGCACTTGTGTTTTTGTGTGCAGCGGCGCAATCACAATAAAGGGTACCTGCGCAGGCGCAACCATACCTGCGCCACCCTCCCCCACCACCCCGCCATCTTAGGGCGCTTCCTGGACACGATGAGATCGAGATTGGAGATGACTGGGAGGGATGATGAGATGATGAGTGACTGTGCATTTGGATTTCTCATTTGAGATGTTTTGTAGGTAGCTGAAACGTGCATGCTTGAGGAAATGATTAAACCTCAGCTGTATTTGGTGTCAAAATTCGGGGCTGTAAAATACCATTATGAGCCCGGTCAAAATTCCCATACATAATTTCGATCGATGGTTTCATGATTGCGTCAATTATCAATTGGCAATCAATTATCATTTATCAATTATTTAAGATGGGGACGCCACTATGTGCGTATTTATGCCCGAATATGAGTGAAGGATGAGTGTGGGATGAGTGACGAGATCTTGTAGTCTTTTTAGTGACTAAGGCTGACATTTTCCTTAGACACAGCTGTTAATGTACGAAATTTGGATTTCGTATTTAGCCTGTTCTATGATTGATATTTAATTAGCATTAAAAAGTTATAAGGGTTACTAACAGGATGCAGCACTATTACATTTCTTTTGCATTTATGACAACACCTAATTTGAAATGTTTGAACCAACTAGCTACAAAAATCTGTGAAAAATGATAATTTACACTCTTTCATTGTTTTGGTGCAGTGGTAGAACATTATGGCTATGGTAGATGTGCTATACTATAGCATCCCGTAAATTAAAAGAACAACATTTACCGTGTCCTCTCTCATTGCAAACCCAAAGCACGAGTATAACTGCAATACGCATTTTATACTTATACGCCAACCTCGTACTCTACGCGACTGGTACTCTGCTTGTACAGTATAAAGGAATTTACAAGGGCAATACAAGAAAATATACCCATCAGTAAGAAAATAAATAACAAACGTCAACACAAAAATATGATAATCAAGTAAGTATAGACATAACTAGATCTTAATAAACACATTTGGTGCATTTG